GACTCTTCCAGGCAGCCCATCTTGCACCCCTGTCCAGTGGGGTGCCAGGCTGCTTTCTTATCTCTGCGGATGGGACTCCATCCCCAGGGCTCCAGGTGAAGGAAATCCCACAGTATGTTGTAATGCTTTTGAGTTGGATGTGTCAGGTTTCATTCCTTTTTACTACTGGGTAGCATTGCAGCATAAGGATTTAATGCAATTTATCCTCTTTCCTGTTGATGGAAATTTGAATTGTTTCCAGTTTTTGGCTATTATAGAAAACCTGCTATGAACATTTGGATATATATTCACCATTGTTTTGTTTCTCTTGCGTAAATACCTAGGAGTGCAATTACTTTCTTACATGGTAAGTGTATAGTTAATTTTATAAAATTACTCACCTTTTTCCAGAATGGTTAGGCCAGTTAGAATACCATCACCCAATGTACAAGAGTTCCATTTGTTCACATCCTAGCCCAGATTTAGTGTGTAGTAGATTTCATTTGCTATAATTCCAATTACAAGCACCATTGACTATATTCTTGTGTACTTGTTGCCTATCCATATTGCTTTTTTGGTAAATTGTCTGAATCTTTTGCCCATTTTTTGATCTGTTTATCTTACTGAATTGTAAGACATATATTCTGGAGACAAGCCTTTGGTTAGATGTATGTATTGCAGATATTTTTTTTTTTGTACCAGGGATCGAACTTGGGTCCTTGCGCTTGCTAGGCAGGCGGCGGAACCACTGAGCTAAATCTCCGGCCTCTGCAGATATTTTTTTCTTAGTCTGTGGCTTCACTTTCTTAATCATATCTTTTTCTTTTTTTTTGGAGGCAGGCGCTGGATCTCTCCTCCCCTATTATATATATTTTAAAATTAATTTTATTGGTACAATTTAGGTTTAATCATATCTTTTGAAGAAAAGACATGTTTATGATGTCCATTTTCTTTTATGGTTCATACTTTTTTTGTACTGTCTAAAAAATTTTGCCTACCATGAGGGGTTTAAAAAAAAATCTTTGGAAATTCTGTATAGTTTTACCCCTTTACATTTAAATCCATGATCCATTCTGAGTTAATTTGTACAGAAAGTGAAGTAACAAGTACATGTTTTTCTCATATATGGATGTCAGTTATTCCAGTGTCATTTGTTGAAACAGTTTACTCTTTCCCTGTTGAAGCACCTTGCTAACTTTGACCCCGTATGCTTCATGCTGTTTCTTTGTTTTTTTGAGACAGGGTTTCACTATGTAGTTCAGGCTTGTAACCCAGGCTGACCTTGAACTTCTGGCAATCCTGCCTCAGCCTCCCAAGTGCTGGAATTACAGGCATGCACCACCATGCCTGGGTGTTTTTTTGATTTATGAATAAATGAAAAAAGTGAATCACAGGTTATGCCTTTGAAAGAAACTCAAGATCATACAATGCTTCTGAAATATTAACAATGAACATTTATTTTTATACTCTGGTGAATTATATTTTAATTAAAAAACCCATTCCAGAGACATGGCAAGAAAATGAAAAAATTGATCCTACACTGGATCCTGGATTGGAGTGGGAAAAAAGCTATAAAAGTATGAACAGATCAAGTGATAAGATTGGAATAAGATCAGTAAATTAAAGTTTTATACTAATATAACTATGATGTTGACTGTTGTACTATGATTGTATAAGATAATATTCCTGTTTTTAGTAAATACACTAAAGTATTTGGGAGTAAAGGGCTGTGATATATACAATTTTCTCAGATAATTAAAAAGTCTGTTTTGGGGGAAGGGGAACACAGCTGATGAAGCAAATAAAAACACGTTGTAAGGGTTTAGCATAGGTTATTCTGAATTAAAGGGTTTGTCACTTAACGCTAAAATCAGTATTATTGCAGAATAAAAATGTTTTAAAAATTGTACATCAGAATGTTGGCTGAATGTCTTTGCCATAAAAGTAGAATTTAAATGTTAAAATAGCTGTTCATGATGATTTTTTAAAAAAGGAATTTTTCAGCACTTGGGACTGAACCCATGGCCTTGCACGCTAGCCAAGTGCTTGAGCACTGAACTGTATCTCCAGCCCATGAATAGAAATTTATTTGAAAAATAAATGGCCATTCTAGATGTAATGTATCACTTAGGATACGTATTGTGGCGATAAGTTGCACATTCTGTGTCTCTGAAAGCCAGCGCTAGATTCTCCTGGGTTAGCTGACCTATTTGAAGTCTCTGATGATAGTTTTTTTCTTTTGCGGGGGGTACCGGGGATTGAACTTGGGACCTTGTGCTTGCAAGGCAGGCAGCGGAACCATCTGATGATAAATTTTATCTGCAGTCTTTTTGGATACCTAGTTTGAGTGACAAGATTTGAAATTACTCAGCGCCGTGTGCATGAGGACCCCTGTGCATATCTGCGGTCGGGAAGATGGACTCACAGTTACATGCACGTGGTGCTCTGTGGACCTAATAGGGATCTAATTGTCTTTTAAGTCCTGCTGTGTATTTGACCTATTTTCTGCCATTACAAAGTCAATAAAAAAGCTTGCAATGCTGCCAGATACAGATGATCCACTTCTAGGATAGAAATTGGTGAGGATTTAGGGGAAATCAGTGCAACCAGGGACTGTAAAGAGGTGCCCGGCTGACCTGGTCACTGAGTCCATCTTGTCTGTTTACTGTGTCACTGACACCTACAGTGGTCACTTAGACCATCTTGTCTGCTTCTCGTGGTCAGAGAAGCCCTTTTCTTCCCTTGCCTGTTGCGTGAGGACTGTCTTGTCCCCTTGTCATGGTCAGGTGGGCCCCACTGACTGTTGTTCCCCACTTACCACTTTCAGGGTCTCAGTTGACTCAGTTCAGGGATATTTGTTTTCTCAGATTCTGGTCATTGCTGTGAAGTTCAAATACACATTTACACACTGTATTTGTGCAAATGGGTCTCATTATAATCTGGACTCACCACCCCCAAATTAGTGTTTCCCTTTGGCTTTTTACCATCTCTCGTTCCACATTCTTGATGTTTGCTGGATGCCTTCCAAGGCGATGTTGATTCTGGGGTGTCGGCTTCTCTGGAACCTGTGTGGTGAGAGAGCTGTCCTGACCACCAGTGTTTATGCTGGCCTGCTAGTTGGCCTTCGAGGTGTGGCGTGTTTGACAGCTGTGTCTTGGGCACATTGCCTGTGCTGACCTTGACTGTGCAGTAGCTGTGGGGCTCTCTCTCATCCAGCTGCCTACTCTGCTGAGCACTGAATGTTAGGTTTGCAGGAAGGAAGCAATAATTTCCAGTAGCAGATGGGCTACATGATAGAGGCTTTTTGACCCTCACCCGGAAAGGTCTCAGATTCCTTGAGCTGAACTCCTGCTCCTGAGGTACTGTGGCCCTTGTTGAGGGGCCCAGTGTGCAGCTGTCATGGTGTCCTCACGGGGGTGGTGGTGGTGTGTGTGTGTGTGTGTGGGAGGGACAGCTGTGCCGCTACGCAGGGCCCCACCTTCTTCAGAGCCAGTGCCCTGCGTGCTCCTGAGTCCCTGTGGAGCTGTCACAGTCTTGCGGCAGTTGGCTGGGGACCACTCGGGCCTTCCACCCAGCACTGGCTGTCGTCCCTGGGTATAGCAGAGGCAGGGTCACTCCAGATTCGTGTCACTCACAACCAGGCCTCCTGGGGACAGGAAAGTGTGCTCTCCTGGTCTGGTTCCTTGGGACGCCTGCTTACCCTCACACTTGGGTTTGCTCCTCAGATTGGAGCTGGGCGGGAGGGGTGGAGTGGGGTGCGACGGGCCATTCTGCCTTTCCTAGGGCCTTTAGGAGAATGACTGAACTTTTTAAGAAAGTATTTTCCTTACAGTTTTCTCAGATGGAATTTTCCTTTTTTTTTTAAGAGTAGGAAAAATTTAAAAAAAAAGGAAAAATTTATTGGGAGAAAGAAAGCTTCTGCATAAGAGAGACAGAAGGGGAACCAGAAAGTGGGTTGCCTACTGACCCTGCATTTCAAAGAAGTTTTATACAGCAAAGCCATGTGGTGAGGCAGGTACAAAGTGGGACAAAACTGTAAGACTCAATGGAAATTTACAAGGTGGGCATGAGGTGGGACAAAACCATGACCAACCGGTAAGATTACAAGTACAGTCACCCAGGTAATATTGATTAAATGGGGCTCAAATGGGGGAGCAAGTCATGTAGCAAGCATACAAGGATTTTCAGTAAGGGTGGGTCAGGGATATGCTGGCTCCTTGACTATCTGTGTTTGCTCCTCCTGGGCTGGCCCTAACTGCCTACAAGATACCTAATTAACTTACCTGTCTACAACATTCCCCCTCTGAAGAAGTACCCCTAACTGCCATGAGGAGGCAAGGGGCGAAGACCATTCTGGCTACTTTCAGATGGAATTTTCTTTAACAAAGGTACACTGGGATGTACTTATTTCACTTTCATTGTGCTGAGTGGTAGCACTCTGTAGCCCAAGGAAATAACAGCTGTTATCTTTCCTGGAGAATTCAGCCTTTCTCATCATCAGTCTGATTTAAACACCCTTCCCTTCCTCACCCACTACCCAGCATCTGAGTGGCATGTGCCCAAGGCCTGGTACACCAGTGGGGAAGGGGCAGGTGACTAGACTGGTTCTCTTCTTGGTACCAGGCTCTGAGGCAGTTCTAGTGTTGATCACAAGGCCCCTGTCCCCATGATTAAGGCAGAGCTGCTAAAGGTCTGATGTTAGTGATTCAGGCTGAGTCTGTGTGTCAGGGTATATTGTTCGCTTTGGCTTTGTGATCCTCAGAGGTTCTGTGTGGTCCAGAGTGAGGACCCAGGAACAGTGGCTTTGTGTTTTCACTCATAGTCAGGAAAAGCTGAGAGGACCAGCTGGTGACACATTGTCATCACAGGAGAGAAAGGACAGCCTGCACTTTTTTGAAGGTGCTAACATTGCTTCAGGAGCGTCAGTGTGTGGGTTACTCAGGACAGGTTCTGCTGGGAGTGGTTACCGGGACACTTGAGTGGGTGATTTCACGGGGCAACCCTCTTCTTGTGTCTTTTAGAATGTCGTTCTTTCAGGAGGCTCCACAATGTTCAGGGATTTTGGACGCCGACTGCAGAGAGATTTAAAGAGAGTGGTGGATGCCAGGTTAAAACTCAGTGAAGAACTCAGTGGTGGCAGAATAAAGGTAGGAGACCTGAATTTTTGCACAGGATTGACCAGTTTGCTCTTAACACAGAAGGAACCGGTCTGGGCAGCATGCTGCAGAAACAAGCTGAACTACTTCCTTGGCCACCTGGGCTTGGTCCAAGTGTGTAGTGAGCTGGGCCCTCTGTGCCCGTACCAGTCCACGGCCACCAGTAATTTTCTTTGGGTTGTATGACATCAGACGTGTAGTGTCCTGACCAGGATGCCAGGAGATGGGAGGGATTGATGGGGGCTCTTAATGTCCTTTGCACATGTTCTTGTTACACTGAAAGAACAGATCAACAGGGAGTTATAGGGTGCCTCCAGAGTGACAACTTCTAACTATGGGTGGTTTTATTTGGGCTTTAACCAAGATTGGGCTTTGGTAGGGCCAGTGGGAGCAAGAAAGAGATCCACAGAACTGGGGTCAGTCAGCTGTTGGAAAAGTACAATTTCTGTTAAGTGTTTTGGGGTGGCTTTTAGTATGTGGAATTATCTCTGAAAAACCATTTGACTTGGTCAAAAAACGCATTAGGTTAGTTGCTTGTCCATTCTCTTTGAACATGCTTTAGTGCCTTGGGGAGCACCCCTGCTGGCCGTGTGGCACTGTTCCCCCACACCACTGGACTGGACCTACAGTTCCAGTTGGTGTGGCCGAGGCAGGGGCTGCGGATGTGAGCGTGGGATCCCCTGTCCTGAAGGGGGCAGAGGGCGGGGAGCCAGGTCTCACCCCTGTGGACCATTGGAGTAAATGTGCTTCCCTTTGTCTGCAGCCCAGGCCCGTGGAGGTGCAGGTGATAACGCATCACATGCAGCGCTATGCCGTGTGGTTTGGAGGCTCCATGCTGGCCTCAACCGTGAGTCCCTTCCACACTGTTCTGTTTGGATTGCTGCCTTTTCTGTTGAGTCTGGGTAGACAGGGTCTGTGAATCAAGGTTCTCCACACACTTGATGTTGTCATTTATTATAGAGAAATATTTAATGATCACTCACATTGCACAGCTAATTCACAAGTCTCCAGAAATAATCTTTTTTTTTTGGTACTGGGGATCGAACACGGAACCTTGCGCCTGTGAGGCAGGCGGCGGAACCACTGAGCTAAATCCCCGGCCCAGTACAGAAATAATCTTAAAAGAATCTTGCATTAATCATTAATCCCAATGATCTTTCCAAGAATTTGGCACTTTTCCCTGTCACATATATTAGTGGCTAATCCATTGTTAACTTAGGGTCCACAAATATTTTAGTTTTTAAAACAAATTTAAATTTAAATTTTTGTTAGTATCTGTTTGCAGTATATGAGTACATTCATTGGCAGGAGTTAGTACATGTGCATAACACATCTTTTTTTTTTTTTTTTTTTTAATTTTTGTTTTTTATTAGTACATGTTTTTTATTTTATTTTATTGGTACCGGAGATCGAACTCGGGTCCTTGTGCTTGCACAGCAGGGTGCATAACACATCTTAATTCTTTCATCCCTTCCTTTCCTCTTCTCTTCCTCCCACTCCCTTCATCTCTTGGTCCCCTTCCCTTTTGCAAAAATGTTATCTGCCAGTGTCCTATTATCTTTTATTTTACTCTTTCATTTATACTTTGGATTTCTCGTATAAGAGAAACCATGTGCTATTTAAGCTTGTGTATCAGATTTAATTCACTTAGCATTATGGTCTCAAGGTGTATCTTCCTTCAAATGACTCACATTTATCCCTTATGGCAGAATAGTATTCTACTGTGTATAAACACCACATTTTCTTTATCCATTCATTTGTTGATGGACATAGGCTGCTTCCAAGATTTAGCTACAATGAGTTGTGCTGCTATAAACATGGCTGTGCATGGATCACTGTAATATGATGTTTTCACTTCAGGGAGATACCTAGAGGGGGCCAGGTCATATTTGGCCCTAAATAAATGGAGGGTAAGTGAGTGTGATGCTGAGGATCAATGAGTTAACAATTTTTTGTCTTTGAAGAGTTGAGGATTGGACCCAGGGCCTCACACATGAAGCAAGCACTCCACCACTTTGAGCTCCACTTTGAGCCTGCCCTGGGTTGGTCACCTGTTCAAACATGAAATAAACTCTAGTGCAGTAGTTGAGTACATAGAAGAGGTCACTGCCTCACGAAGTGGCCTAGAGGAAGGTACAAGTTGTGGATGGGAGTTTTTCATCTACTTAGTTGTTCATTTAACGTTCTTTCCTTTCTGAGTTGCTCACATTTTGCTCTCTGCTGTTGCCGCAGCCGGAGTTCTTTCAGGTCTGTCACACCAAGAAGGACTATGAAGAGTACGGGCCCAGCATCTGCCGCCACAACCCTGTCTTTGGAGTCATGTCTTAGTGTCTGCCATGGAACCGTCGCTTGATGGCATCCCACGGAGCCCGAGCAGAGTGTTCCTGTGCGTGTGGGGACAGTGGTGTGGCGTCCGGGCGGCGTGGGTGCATCACCGAGTTCGTAAGGCTCTGTGCAGTCCTCCTGGTCAACGCCATCTCTTTATGTGTGACTTTTCTACCCCGGTCCCCTCCTCTTGCCCCGTGTCCCACCTCTTCTCCACCTGAGCTTCTCTTCCACAAGTACAGTTCTGAAGGAATTCAAGCGCAACTTGAAATATTAGAGAAAAAAAGGCACACCATCATCCACCCAGGAAAGAATGTGGGGGTGTAAACCCTGGTCCTCCCAGCTTATTTTTGTAAATAAAATGTTATAAACTTGAAATAGAAATCGATGTTTATATTTCCTATCATTTTGTATTTTATGGTATTTGGTACAACTGGCTGATACTAAGCACGAATAGTTATTGATGTCATGGAGTGCTGTAATAAAGTTTTTAAATTGTGAGGCATGTTATGATATGTTTATAGGCAAGCAGTAACATAGCAAACTTTTTTCCATGTTTGCTTGAAAATGAGTACACTTTATTAGGGCGACCTGAAGTCCGAACACCAACCAGCGCCGTATGAGAATTGCCGCACGCAGTGTGGCTGAGTCCTTCCATGTGAGCTTTCTGGGAGTGCCTCACAGAGGACAATGTGATGTGGGGATGTCAGATGGAATACTACTGCGCCATGGTAATAAAAGCTGTCAGAATCTTTCTACTTCTGCTCTAGTGTGGTGCTCTTTTGGTCCCCTGATACTTTAAAAAAATGTTGTCGGCGGATGGTTTAAGACCAACGGCGTGTCTGTGTGAGAATATCTTGAACGAAGTGGACTGTTGTGCTACCCACATTAGGCGTGTTTTGGACTGGGGTTCTCATGGAGGTGTCCTTCAGGATTTCCAGTGTCCCCCTAGGAACTTGAGGCTCAGGACCTTGAACTTTCAGTAATTATTTTCACATTTGTGGAATAAATTTGCTAAATTAAATAGATTTAGGTTTATTCCATTCATATTATCCTTATGTTAGCTTTTAGACTTATGAGCGTTTTCAGTAGTGAGGTAGGTTTTATTCGGAGAAGACTTATCTTTGTAACCATGTAAACATTTGGCTTTAGTGTTTAAATTCAGAAACAAGTTTAGGAGCAGTAAACTTAGAAGTCCTCCCTTATCCATGGTTTTGGTTCACTACCATCAACTGAGGTCTGAAAGCATGAAACGGAAAATTCCAGAAATACATTCACGTCACTTTTACTGCATCATATCATCATGGTGGTTCTGTTTTATTATTTTTGTTCGGGTTTCACTGTGCCTAGTTCATAAATAGTTTATTGTGAGGGTGTTAGCTTTTAGTCACTGTGATGCAATACTCCAGTCAGGCTACTTACCAAGAAAAGGGATTCAACACACAGCTTTGGAGGTTCCAGGGCACAGTGCCTACTGCGGCTCATTCCTGGAGGGGCCCTCAAGGCCATTCATTTTACAGTGGGGGCCCCCGTGGGGCCTGGGTGGAGTGGGGACCATGACGGACCCAGGAGGCCAGATTCCCACTTGGCAGCCATGCCACAGCACCTCCCGTGGTCAGTGCCCTGAGGACCCAGCTTCCAGCATGTGACCCAGGGCCATAGTTTGCATAGCAGAGAGACACGTGTGCAGGTCCTTCCTGTGGTGCCGGGTGTCCCCGGGCTGGGAGTGTGTCCCTCCTCACCACACTTGTCCCTTGCTGGGCATCTCGACAGCAGGGCCCGTGGGTCACTGCTGGTCTTTGTGATTCCTGGCATGTGGCAGGTGCCCGGTCAGCACTTGCTGGGTTAAATCTCCCTGGAAGGAAGACCATTCTCTTTCCAGCTGTGTGTAGATGACCTCAGAGTCGAGTGTTGGGGATTGAGTTAGATTTAAGAATTCAGGGTATCACTGTAGTTCAGGCTGACTTTGAACGCACTATGCAGCCCAGGCTGGCCTCGAACTTACAGCAATCCTCCTGCTTCAGCCTCCCGAGTGTTGGGATTACAGGTGTGCACCACTCATGGCTTCCTTAGGATTTTTAATGGCTTCTTTAAAACCTAGCTTCTTAAATTTCGACTCCAGCAGGTATTCATGTAGCTGCAGAGTGGACAGTAGATCCTTTGTGATACTGCGGCACATTTTTCATGGCCGCCTTCCCTTTACTCTGGTCATGCCTGGGGCTAGTTACAGAAATGCACCCTCGGCACCAGAGGCCACAGAAGAAATCTGCAGAACTACTGAAGACAGAAGTGTATTTGATGGTACTGATAGTTCATTCTCCAGCCATCTGCCTATGAATAACAAGCCCTCGTGTGACTGAAGTGCAAATCGCTTTGTGATTAATACATTCTTTATGACCTTTCCATGCTATCTCATTTGTAAAAATTACGATTGTTCCAAACAAGCTTGTGAGGTTAATCAAGTGCACAGCTTATTTAAAATCACAGGAGTCCCATTAAGAATATTTATCTGTTAAATAATTCTTTACTTAATTAAAGAATATTTCATAATGTTTCCTTTAAAAGTAACTGTCAGGCCTGTTAAATAGAAATATAAATTGGCAAAATAATTGCATGGGGCTCTAATTGGCAATTACATCAATTTCACTTGGTCAGATGGAAATAAATCTTCGAAAAGAAACTATAGCTCAGTCTTGACATCATTATCAAAGGTTTTTCAAGTTTTAAAATATTACCTTTTTTTTTTTAAGCCCTGTATTTCTCAAGTAAACATCGTTTACTGTCTTGGTTGACTTCTCAGGTTTAATATTTTGATTTTAATTTGGGAAGCCTTGCATTGTTCTCTGTGTGTGATGTGTGTCTGTAATTACGTGTACAGTAGTTAGTTAATGGTGTATTGCTACTAAGAGCTTAAATTTTTTAATGAGAGGAATATAGCTTTAAATTATTACAAATAATTACAAACTTAAGGGTTTATGATATCAGATAAAATTTTAATGATACAGCATTGGCTATATTTCCAGTATTTAGGGTCAGGTCAGAGGTAGTAATTGGTCAGAGCTCCATTTAATTCATTCTTGGCTACATTCGTGCCTAATGCTGAATAAATTCTGAGTCACTCCTATCAGTCAGACGGCCCAGGCAGTCTTTCTGCTGCCTCTGCTGGGGTGGTGGTGGTGGGAGCAGCCTGGAACTGGGCAGGGGACAGGCCTCTGCCCACACTGGGTGGCCATCAGTATGTCCTTGGTGCTTCTGTCCATCTGTGTTCCTTTCGGTAGAACAGAATGGCATCTGGTAGCCCTAGGATCCCTCTGAGGGAGCTGGTGGAAGGGGAGACGCAGGAAGCTGGACACGGGTCACAGCACAGCCCTCTGCTATAGTCCGTGGCTTCACATAAGTTATCCTCTTGGGCTCGAGTTTTATTTTTCCTTCTTCCCTCTGCTGGGGATGGAACCCAGGGCCTTGCACATACGAGGCAGGTGCTCTGCCACTGAACCACACCCCAGCTTCTTACATTTCAAGTCAGGAGCATCCACTAGCTGTGGAAGGCTTGTTTAGGCCAGGCTGCAGGCTCACAGAGAAAGGTGTGGTGCTGGGGTGACAATGCCTGGGATGTGGCATGTCTGCACCAGCAGGAGAGGTGGCCATGACCAGGTCCTCGTGGCACAGAGCCATGCACCATGACACATAAGATGTGGCAGGGTATGGGGCCGGGAGGGATGTGGTTGGGTCCCCAACAAGTGTCAGGTGAGGTAGAGGCCAGCTGGGGAGGGAGGGAAGTGGTCTAGGAGACAGAAGACATGCCAGGTTCAGGTGGCTCTCTCCGTAAGCCAAAAGAGAAATGTCAGATGGTTCACTAACACAAACACTCGGAGCAGAAGGAAGCTGGGAGTTTTGTTTTTGAGACAGAGTCTCACTATGTAGTTTGGGCTGGCCTTGAACTCATGCCTCAGCCTCCCAAGTGCTGGGATTACAGGTATGCACCACCGGGCTGGCCTTGAGCTTTTTTAAGATGGGGAGGGACATGAGTATCCAGGGTATGTGAGACAGGTGCTAAGGCTGAGCTAAGGGTTTAGTCCTTATCGGGAGGACAAAGTCTCTGGACACATGAAAAGATTATTTTCCCCAAACTGGGAATTGAGCCTAGGGGCTCTTTTATTTTGAGACAGGGTCTTACTAAGTTCCCTTGGCTGGGCATAGACTTGGCCATCCTCCTGCATCAGCCTCCCAGAGTGCTGGGATTATAGGCCTGGACCACCATACCTGGCTATGAGAAGGTAAGTAGCAGGTGATGAGGTTTGTGCTACATCAAAAGCAGACACACCTAAAAGTTCTGACCAAGACCTGGGAGAGGGAGGAGAAAGCAGCCAGCTGCGGGTGCTAGCTGTCCTGGGGCTCAGTCCCAGGAACATGTCACACAGGCGCCTGAGAGCAGTGGTGTGGCAGGTGCAGCCAGGGAAGGGTGGGAGGCCTGGGATGTGACCCATAAAGTGGTGGGAAGAGCTAACCAAGGACAGCCTCGAAGACACCGCTGCTTGTAGGTGAACAGCAGGAAGTATCTTTTGAAATTTAGTAAAATACACAGCTGGTGGGTGAAGTTTATTTTCAGTTTACTAAAATTACCAATGAGATCATTTGTTGAATTTAGAAGGTTTTTTTTCCTACTGTACTTTCTTTCTTTCTTTTGTTAAAAAGCTACTGTGCTTTGGCTGTGATCAGTGGTATTTGAGTGCTACTAAAGAAAAGCTTAGGGTACAGTCCTGTGTGCTGGAACTAGGCATGTAAATAATAATTAGAAGTCACCTAGCTAGAGAAATACATGTGAGCTGTAAAGATACAAATAACTAATTGGTGTTCTCCACTGACATCTTTTATCTTTTTTTTGGTACCAGGGGATTGAACTTGGGACCTTGAGGTTGCGAGGCAGGTGTCTGAACCACTGAGCTAAATCCCTGGCCCACATCTTTTATCTTAATTAGAATAGTATACTGAACTTGCTGCTCTGATTATGTGATCATTTTCTTGAGCTGAATTGGTATGTTTTAACATTTATACATTAGGTAATCAAAACATTATTGCATGATATAATTACAGCTGTCTGAATTAGAGTTTAAGGAAGCTATTGCCACACTATATGTAACTTAAATATCCCCTAATGGCAAGGATTAATGAAGTTATAAACTTTCTGGTAATGTGCAGTTTATGTCTGGGTTGATTTACAGGTGGGCAACGTGTAAAGGCTTGGCAGCCACTGTGCTGGGACTTTATGAACAGTGGTGGCATTTCTGGGTAGGTGTGTCTTGTGCAGTTGTGACTACATGTGTGCTGAACTTACTGTACCAGTGCTGGGACCCGTTACTGTGCTCACGATGTGGCGAAGTAGGCGCTTGGTTTCACATGGGAATAGAGTAACAGTATTGATAGGGCTTGGTACCCATACCGCAGGATAGTGACAATTTTTCAGGTTCTCTCTCTCTCTCCCATATTGGGGATAGAACCCAGGGCCTTTCCATTGTGCTATATTCCCAGGAAAGGCTGGGCTCCTGCCTCGGCCTCCCAGAGGCAGGGATTACAGGCATGTGCCACCACACTGCCTCTTTTCTTCTCCTAAAAGTGGGAGGCAGCTTTTTTTGGTGGTGGTATTATGGCTGGAACCTAGAGCTTTGGAGGTGCTAGGCACGTTCTCTACCCTTCAGTTATACGCCCAGCTCCAAGGGGTGTACACTTCACCATTGCAGTGAGGCCTTGAGCTAGGGCC